AACAGCTAATATTTTAAAACTTATTTTAATTTACATCACTGGGTTTGTCTAAGGTAAATAAATTGTACTAACAAGAGTTAAAACGTATCAAAGATAATTAATAAAACACCTTATTTATAGAAGAAAACACAAATTTACAGATAGTTGTAGAAAGGAAAAATATTTTCTATTGACTATGTAAAAACTATCATTAAGGAAAAATGTAAAATAGTAGCTGATAAAAGAAAAGAGGAATCTGAGAAAGTATAGATTTGTGACATGTCATCTACATCAATGGACCATGTCATGATCTGAAAGCAAAACATGACAGCCTGAATTATTTTAATGCCCAGGTTATGAGTGACATAACATCGTTCATGTTTTTAAGCATGCACTGATAGTGAAAACCAACCCCGCACCTCTGGGGAGATTTGGAATGGGGGCATCGACGAATGCGCCCTATACAAATGTTTGGAGAATGGAAGCATTATCCCTATAGAACCTGACTGTGATGAAGAGCCCTCGCCCATTTGTGTACGGGAAGCTGAAGTTGTCATGGGCATCACTGATGAGCGGACCTGCTGTTCAAAGGAAGTTTGTGGTATGTGTGCAGAAGCCTTGTAGTCATTTAATTCCACCAAAATATGTTGATATTCTTTGTGAAAAAGCAGGGCATTTTTTACACACAAAAATGTACAGGTTGAGGTAATAATGAAACACTGCCATAAATGTCATTTTCTCAAAGCAAGTTTCGCCTCATTGTGGTTTTGTTGATTTTGAAAATGAACATGCAAAACTCTGGCTATTAGCAATTAAAAACGTTCAGCAATACATTACAAGAGAAAGGATGTGGGAATCTTTGACTTCCTGCAATCAGGGGTGAAAGACAATAATAGACAAACCTGAAAGCTGCTGCCTTTTCACCAATGGCCCATTTTGTGAACTGAATGGGTTTAATTGCACTGTAAAAACATGGATTGTGAGTTATTTCCCTGCTTTCAGTTAGCAACACAAGATTTTAGTTATGGTCACTAATATTTTAATGCTTCTGTTTCTTATTTCTAGGATGTGACATGACTTTGTGTGTAACTACCATTCCAACGTGTACGAACAGTCAAAAGTTGATTGTTGGCTATAGCCCTCTTTCCTGCTGTCCACAGTACAAATGCGGTGAGGAATCAATTAGGAAAAATAAGAGTGAGGTTCACTGTTCATTCAGAATAGTGGATTAGATTCTCATTCTTTTCATCTCCTAGAAAATGATTTATTATAAAAGACGTGGAGTTATCTTGCTAAAGATAATTTTTTAAACCTGTGATTTTTCCATATTGATACGAAGCGGTCTTCAAAAAATTCATGGAAAGATTCTTATTATTTTTTCATTCTATTTTCCATGAACTTTTCTTCGAAGTACCTGTGTGTGTGTTTGTGTGTGTGTACTGCTATTTCTTACATATTTTTCACTAACAGTAAGATCTTTAAAATAAGTCAATTATCACTAAGTTCAAAGACAATGAAACAACACTATTTCATTTATTTTATCATCTCTCTCTATACAAATTTTCAAATATCTTTGTTTCTGCAGAATGTGACCCACTGAAATGCCCCAGTATTTCAACGCCAGAATGTAGAGGAGACCAATTCATGATTCAAGTTAGACAGGAAGAACCTTGCTGTTATTCCCCCTTCTGTGGTGAGTATTCCAGAGATAATTTCTTGAAAAAAGAGGGAGGATCTAGTGAAAATCTCTTATTTGATGTGCATTTCATGGGACTGATAACGAATATAACCAATACTCTAATGTTATACTCATAGGAATTCAACTGAATAGAACTGCAGAAAAGAAAGTACAGCATTTTAAATGACTTTTGACAATTACTACAATTAGTACCTTTTCCCATCACCAAAAACTTAATCAGTACAAGCACGACCAAGATAATAAAATCAAGGGTTTTTTTTCTCCATAATAAATAAGGCTTTGAAGGTCTTTGAAGAGAAATTTAGCAATGGCTTTCTTTAAAGAACCAACTATAATAATGGGCTCTGCTAAGACATTATAGGTCCTCTTTAAAACTCAATTTTCTGTATATCATGTGTGAGCTATGACTATCTCAAGAGAATGTTAGAAACAAGGTTGTCTGGGAAATGACTAGAACTAAATATTCTGTCTGATGAAGTGAAAATAGAAAAATAATGAAGTCTGTTTTGTAGTTCAAATAAATTATCATATCAAAGATAGGTGATTAATGTAGGTTTCAAATGTACCTATGAAAATCAAGACACCTCTCTTTGAATCAGTTAAAGTTATTTTCCTGCAGGTGGCAAAAACTGATTGATTCTGGCTAGCTTAAGCACAAACAATTATTGAAGGATTTAAGGCAGTACATAGGATCAAGATGAAGTAAAATAGCCAAGTTCTTGGAAGGAGAGAAACCAGCTGTTCTAGGTGAAAGTCAATAATAGGTGAGCCAACTCCATGTATTTCTTATCCTGGCTTGCCTCTATTTATGATTCAGATTCTATTGAGAGAGATTCTGATCTAATGTGGCTCTTCCTACCTAGTGCCTGGGAGGGTGAGGCACCTTTATGAACAATCTGTGTGGGTGGGGCATTTCTTCAAGGTCATTCAGATCATTGTTATCACGGTTGGGAGGGGATGCTGAACAGCCCAAAGAACAAGTGGCTATTACAATGTTCATCCACAAATTGTAGTAATCACAAGGGGTGAGTAAAGAAAACTTAAATAAATCATTCAACGTTATTTTGATCCTAGTATGAATAAATTACTCTGGAAACCTGAATGCCCTATATTTCTGCTAAGATAGTGTTCTATAAGTCACTGTGCTTGAAAAGTATAAAGCAATATACTCCAGCAGAATTATTGTTTTTATGACCAAGTAAAAAGATATATCTTATTTCTTTTGTTTCCTATTTTATTAAACATAATGTATTTTACTTTGATTTGATTTGTATGGTAATCTGTACTGATAATTAATTTGTTTTTAGCTCAGCTGTGACTTTTGGCTTTTTATTTCACTTTTAGTTTGTGAATCTTGCACTGAACCTATTCCACTATGTACTGATGGGGAATTTCTCTCGGTGAATCTTAATACAACAGACTTCTGTTGTCCTCAGTATTATTGTGGTAAGTGTATTTTAACTAATTTAAAATATTTATATTTTATTTTGATTTGATTTGTATGGTAATCTGTACTGATAATTAATTTGTTTTTAGCTCAGCTGTGACTTTTGGCTTTTTGTTTCACTTTTAGTTTGTGAATCTTGCACTGAACCTATTCCACTATGTACTGATGGGGAATTTCTCTCGGTGAATCTTAATACGACAGACTTCTGTTGTCCTCAGTATTATTGTGGTAAGTGTATTTTAACTAATTTAAAATATTTAGATGTGTCCAATATTTAAGAAGCCCAGTGCATCTTGGTTGTACTGTTATATCAGAACCCTTTGCAGGGCTTTTCACTTGATGAGCTGTCTCAGCACTACTACTGTTGCTGTACTTGCTTATGAGTCATTTGTTCTGTCCCCGCCAACACATGGCAATTGGGTGGTGGGAGAGCCAGCCATGAATCTGTGTACTACATTAGTAATGGTGGTGAACTAAATGGTAGGTAATGGGAAACGGCAATTGCATGAAATTAATCTTTACTCATGTAATTTTTCTTTTTAGTTTGTGAGCCAAATCTTTGTCCTACACCATTACTCAACTGTGCAGAAGATATGAATCTTGTGAAAGAAAATGTATCTGGTCAATGTTGTCCAATATGGCATTGTGGTAAATAGTTTTCATACTTTAAAGTTTTATTACAATAAATTAACATATTCTGATTAGTGTAAATATGTTAATTTTTGCCTTTTAGAATGTAACTGTGAAAACCTTGTTATGACAACTTGTGAAGTGGTAAGAACACATATTTTGATTGACTTTTCCTATTATTTAAATCAGTTTTTTCTTCCCTTATCTCTCTCATTTCTGAATTCTTCTCAGAGTTAATGGAATTGTTCTTATTAAATTGTACTGAAGTAGATTTAAATAATGTGCTCTGCTATTAGGGAATAGTCAACCTTTTATATTTTACTTGAGATAGGAAATTATTACTTTTTTTTAACTATTGAATGAATTTACTGGTCTTATATCTACTCAAGTTCATTGGCCTTAAAATGCAGCAAAACATTGAAAAAATATTGAACAGTGTCTCCAATGATTCTTTAAGAAAGTGCACTAACAATATATTTGTTGTAGAGGAGGAGAGTGTAACCATGGAACTGCCTGTACCTTCTTAAGAGTTATCTGTGAACATGTAAACCTTTTAGACATTCCAAAGATTTCATTTTTAGAAATGATAAGGATTACCATAGTGTCATTTATTTAACCATTTTAGATAGATGCATCCAATGGTGCTTAACAAGTCTTTGTCTTCTTTAAATATTTACCTTCATGATATACCTATAACACTTGAGAAAGATAATATATTCCTGGCCCTATTTTTTAGAGAAGGCATGTTTTCTTTTCCAAAGATATATTCGTTTTTTCTTTTCCTTATCAAACAATGTGTATTCTTAGAAAGTTCATTCAGACTGTCCAGCTGAAATCTATATTCTGGGGAACAAATGAGGCAGTTTAAAAATAACAGAATCCCTCTTATAATGCCACTGTTTTATTTGAAAGGCATTAATCCAACATATGCTCTAATGATTAGAGTTATCATCTATGATTTACACAAAATGTTTCAGCTTTATTATTTTGTGTGTGCACTACACACACATTTGATTATTTTATGTGTGCACTACGTGTACATCTACACCAGAGTAGAATTATGATACCTTATATTTCTCAAACCTTCACAATTTACATAATATGTTTAGTATATTAACTCACTGAATCTTCACAAAGTAAGTATTTTCAGCTCATTTTATAAGTAAGGAAACTGAGGTCCAAGAGAGCAAATGATTTACTGAGATCTTCAGGATTCAAACCAAGGAGTTGTTTTTGTGTGTGTCTATTTTTTGTTCTTTCTATTCTGCTTTAACACTTTTATTTTCCTTACAAAATGCAGCCAGGACACAATTTGAAACAAGAACAAAAGCAAATGTGTGACTACCTTGTTTCTGTCTGTCCTTGCCTTTCTCTAGCTCTGCCTCACTTTCCTCATCTGTAATATAAAAATAGTAACAATGTCTTATCACAGAAGCAAAATAAATTAATATTATTTAAATACTTAGTACCTGACACATAGATAGAACTCAATAAGTATTAGCTATAATTATTACTTTTTTGACACATTAAAACTTAATTTCCTTATTATTATTATTTTTTCCTTATAAGTTAGACCCACCCCTTTTCCAGTTTCAGTCTCTTTCTCTGGGACACATAGGTTTTCTGAAGGCAAACTGGGAGCACTGTACAACCTTTGTGTTTATTCTTTATTTTTAAAAGTTTAAATTTTTTTCTTATTTGTTGTTTTAAATTGACAAATAACAGGTGTATATGTTTATCATATACAACATGATGTTTTGAAATATGTATACATTGTAGGATAGCTATATCAAGCTAATTAACTAATGCATTATCTCACAAACATTATTTTTTGTGGTAAGAACACTTAAAGTATATTCTCGTAACAATCTTCAAGAATACTGTACAATGCATTGTTGTAAACTATAGTCATCATGTTGTACAAAAGATCTCCCGAACTCATTCCTCTTATCTAATTAAAATTTTGTATCCTTTGAGCAACATCCCCACCACCTCCAGGCCCTGGTAACCACCATTGTACTCTCAATTTCTATGAGTTCAACTTTTTTAGGTTCTGTCTATAAGTGAGATCATGCAGTGTATGTCTTTCTGTGTTTGGCTTATTTCACTTAACATAATGTCCTCCAGATTCATACATGTTGTCACAATTGGCAAGATTTTCTTGTTTAAGGCTGAATAGTATCCCATTTTGTATATATACCACATTTTCTTTATCCATTCATCCATTGAGGTACACTTAGATTGATTTCGTATCTTAGCTATTGTGAATAATGCTGCAATGAACACAAGAGCACAGATATCCAATCAACATATTGATTTCACTTCCTTGGATATCCACCTAATGGGATGGCTGGATCATACGGTAGTTCTATTTTTAATTTTTTGAGGAACCTTTATAGTGTTTCCTATAATGGCTGTACTAACTTACATTCCAACCAACAATTTTTCTTTTCATCCTTGCCAACACGTGTTATCTTTTTTTTTTTTTTTTTTTATAGGAGAATTGTATTTGTAGATTGTTTGGGCTAGCATCAACATTTGACACTATAATTTTGGGGGGCACATTAAAACTTAATTTCTTAATTTTATTAGCTATCATTATTACTACAAGATAAACACAATACTCAGAATGTTAACCACAAGGTGGAGATCATCATGGAGAACTTTCTAGGGAGGCTGACCATCAAGAAAAGCTTGGAAGAGAGTGATAGTCAGGTTAAGAATAATGAATGAAAGCCATTGAACTATTCCAGATGGGGGCTACTAAGAACAGAGTAAATGCACAAATGTATGAGATAAGGTAGATATGCTAAAGGACAGCAACTTCTCTATTGTCTGGAAGAAGAGCTAACTGGAAGAAGAACAATGAGAGATCAAAACCTATCCAAATTGGGGTGATAGGAATGGGCTTTAAAGGTAAGAATGAGGAATTTAAACTTTATTAATTTATTTGTTCTTTTCAGTTACTAATTTGACCAACATTTGTTGAAAACCAATTATGTGCAGTTGTGGTACCAGACACTTGAAAACTTACAATCCTACCCTGTGGAGCTCAGTGCAGATTTAATATGATAGGAGATGAAAAGGGTCCTGCGTAGGATGGGAATTATGATGAAAATGGTTTTTAAGGAGAAAACGTTGCTCTTCCTGTGTAGCAGGATATGGGCAGTAAAATATTAAAGTGCAGAAGATCAGCAAAGAGACATGCAGGAATGAGGACCTTGGGTATAGTGAGATCTGTACATAAGGGGAGGGGTTGAATCTAGAAGGGCAGATGGAAGTTTTTGTGTCACACTTCTGTGTAACAGAGATGCAAAAAAGGATTACTCAAAGCAACATGAATGTAATGAGAAGTCCAAAGGGACTGCACCTCAGAAACTCCTCTGTTAAAAGGAGAAAACTGGGTACAACCCCTATTCAAAGTTAGCATCTATTTTTTATAGTAAAGACAAGGAAGTTTCACAAGAATAATCAGTTGATTCAATCATTTCAAAAGGACACAAAGACACGGGCAATGTGACAAAAGTTATCTATAGCTAAGTATAGCTTAAACAATGGAAACTAGTAACATCACTTAAATTAACAAGGTGACATTCCAAAGTACAATTTGTGAAAAGCTAAATTGATCAGATTGCCATTGATCATTATCTAACCCAAAATGTAACCTCTCCCCAAATGATTTAAACAAAAGTTACACTCTTATGATAATTCTTGCTAAAGTTTCCACTAACAAACAGCTTGTCCTTAGCAAACATTTTTTCACATTTTTTCCTACAACAATTCTTTCAACATCTTTTAACAACAATCAGTATGTTAGTCAAAGTACATAATCCCATCCCTAAACAGTGATTAGAATTAATTAGATGGGCTTTTGCCACACTATGTGTGGACTTTTGTCCCATACATGCATTACCAAAAAAACCCTATTCTAAAAATCAACTGAGAATCAACATATACTTGATTGTAATTGATTAGATGGGCTTTTGCCACATTATCTGTGGACTTTTGTCCCCTAAATTGAGGGCTTTTGCCCCATACATGCATTACCTAAAAACCCTATTCTAAAAATCAAATGAGAATCAGGATTTCTAACACTCTACAGTTTTGGCCTTTTGTAACATGTATGTGTTGTGTGTGTATAGTTGGACAAACACTCCAGTTGGTCAGAGAAACAGCTCAGAATAGAGACACTGAGATTCCACTTATAACCAACCTCATTTAGAGCTCTTTTGCTGGCCTGAAAGAGGTAACAGTGTCTTATAAGCATTTCAATAACTTCTAACATAACAATAAGTACCAAGTTCTTCTTCCTGTGGGAATTTATGCCTCCTATGTCTGGGCACTTTGAAGCTTCTTTGGGTAGAAGCCTTTATGTTAATTCATTAACCTCGATCTGATCATTACCTTAACTCTGCTTTTTTTTTTTCCTAATAGGTTCCTACCATTTTGCACTTTCCCTTTTCTTGTGTTCTTCTCCTTCCCCCAAATTTGTGTTAGTAGCTGGCCTATTTAGCTTATTTCCAGCTCAAGTCTCAATGTCTTAATATGAGACTTAATTATGAATCAAATTTTGACAATACTTAATATTCCAAGCATTTATTGAGTGTATGCTATATTACATATTAGTACTGTTGTAGGCACACAGAACATAACTACAGTAGTAGTTTCAATATCCTTGAACATCTTACCCAAATATGCATAACTGTCCATGTGTGATGACTTAGATTTGACGTTCATGGTTCTACACAAGCATTGACCTAACCCAGTGTTCCTGAGTATTCACTCTGAATGATGGCTAATGTTAGTCTTAGTGACTAAGGTGATTTTTTTAACATCACATTAGTTTATTCACATAGACAACAAAGGTATTTCAACCTGAAGAGTATTTTAGAGCTTTGCAGTGTTTCTTTCATAATGGCTTTATTAAAACATAATTCACATACCATACAATTTTCAGCCATTTAAACTATACAATTCAGTGTTTTTTAGCATATTCACAGAATTGTGCAGTCATCAACACAATCAATTTTAGAACAATTGCATCACCACAAAAAAGAAACCTTGTACCTATGAGCAGTAACTCCTCATTTCCCTCAAACTCCCAGCCCTCAGAAATCATTCTGCCACTATGAATTGTCCTATTCTGTATATTTCATATAAAGGGAATCATATAATAATATGTGGTCTTTTGTGTCTGGCTCCTTTAACTTAGCATAAGGTTTTCAATGTTCATACATATTGTTGCATGTGTCATGACTTTATTTCTTTTTATTGTCAAATACTATTCCTTTGTATGGCTATACCTAGATACTTATACGAATAAGATATTAAAATGACCAATAGCACATAAAAAGATGCTTAACATCATTAGTCATCAATTAAATGCAAATCAGAAGTACAGAGATACACCACCTCACACCCACTAAAAAGACAGAAAATAACACATGTTGTCAAAGATGTGGAGAAATTGGAACCCTTATACACTGCCGATGGCAATGTACAATGATGCAGCTGCTTTGGAAGACTGCCTGGCAGTTACTCAAAAGGTTAATTAGACTTACCATATGACCCAGCAATTCCACTCCTAGGTATATGCCCAGCAGAAATGACAACATATTTCCATACAAAAACTTGTACTTGAATGTTCATAGCAGCACTATTTATAATTACCCCAAAGTAGAAACAACCTACAGTGACTTTGCTGTTGACTTCAAAGGAGAGGGATGCTCACTTGGTGGAAAAAAGCACCATCTTATTTCATGTAATATTATGAATTTGTAGAGCAATATCTCATTCCCTCTGTGTGAAATTGTATACTTACAAGAATAAAGTATAACTAGATATATGGATAAGATCTTGAAAGAAATAAGCATAGAAGGGGAGAACAGATGATTTAAGCCTAAGTTTGAGAGTACAGAGAGAGCGATTTGGCTTTAACTATTAAAACGTAGGTGAGTAAGTGACCTAAAAGAGTTAGTACAGCCTAATGCTTCCTTCTTTCATCTCTGGAGTAGCTTACATACTAGGATAATCTGATTTATTATTATTATTAACTCCATTATTCTGACATTTTATTTCCAATCCCACTGGTATTTTCTAATGACTAAAGTCCTAAAACATCAAATGAGTTCATGTTTACGAAACTACTTTACAACTTATAAGGCACTGTAAAAAGTAAGATGTTATTAGCTTAACAGGAAAACATGCCATTTGTATATTCATTTGTATATATGAATTTACTTAAATCATTTCTTTGGGTCAAGGATCAAATTTATTTTATTAGTGATGTCATATGAAAATTAAATGCATGAAGGAAAAGTGGAGGCTTAAAATACCATTTTGAAACTTTAAGCTTAGTCCTGTGTTTGCTTGGGGGAATATCATTTCTGATAGAACAAAGTTTGAGCATCTGTCATGACAACAAATTACTAACAGCTAAAGGTTATATAGCACTTTCTATGTGTCAGTCCTATTCTAAGCTCTTTACATATATTGTTTCATTTATTTCTCTCCACAATCCTAAGAGGTAGGCAGTGTTATTTTCCCCAGTTTACAGATGAGGGAAGTGAGGAGCAGACTGGTTAAGTAACTTGCCCTAGATCACACGGCTGGCAAGTAGCAGAGCTAGGATTGGCACAAAGGCAGTCCTGTTACTGAGCCTGTTCTGTATGCTGTGACAGCCTTGCTCAGATGCAGACATCAGAGCCCTGGACCACCTCTATTATTTGCCCAAAGCAAGAATTTCCCAGGGTTGGCAAGTGTTATCTCTGATTGCCTTCCAGAAGCTCAGAATCAATACAATTTGAAAGTTAAGACAGACCATAAAGATCACCATATCCACCTTTACTCAGTAGATAAAGAAATAAATGCTTGGAGAGATCGAGTGATCCCTAGGCACATTATTTATAATGAATTTTTCCATGAGCTACTAATTAAGTGACCACAGAGTTAATCCAAGCCTATTCACTATCAGATATTTATTAAACACCTGCTGTTTGTCTGGCTGTGTGGTAGGAAACTTACTAAATGTTATGAATGCATATGTATATATTTTACAATTGTCATATAATAAGATACATGGTAAGTCATATAATAATAATAATAATAATATCTTTCTAATAGGGAGAATTTACTACAATAGACCATAACTTTCAGAGTGACTGTGGATGTGTAAAGTATCTCTGTGGTAACTATATTTTTTGTAACTCAAATTATTAGTGAATATTATTGGTATCTATTTTTCATTATTAGTGAATTAAAAAAGATTTTCTTTGAGATATATGTTACACATTTTAAGCCATTCACCAGTATTTGAGTGTAAAGATGTACTATTATTTTTCATTTTATGCTTTTATGCTAAATGTTCTGAAATATTTGATAATAGGACAGAAAAGTAAATATTTTTTTCAGAGACTTCAAAGAATTTTAAAGTAGGGTTCTTTTTAATATTTCTATATTTAAGTTTTTAAAAATAGACAACATCTATAAGTGTAAGGGTTTTTCACCCATTGTTTTATTATCTTTGATGTTAATAATGCAGAGCATAGAGTGGATTTTTCTATGAAACAGAAACCTTCATATTTAAATATTAGCAGGCTAATAGGAAAAAAGTTTTGATCAATGGCTTAAAATTTTTATATTTTTATATGAGAGAAGGCTTAAGTTCAGTGTTGGTGAGGCACAAACAGCTTCTGAGCTGAATTTTTCATCCCTATCCCAGACTACCGTGATATGCCACTTCTAAAAATACAACAGTGTGTTATTCAATCAGATGCCTCCATCATGAAATACGATATACATGGTATTTATTTTGCAACACTAGAAAATTAAAAAAATTTCCCCAAATAAAAACATTTAAAAACCATGAAATGTTAACAGTTCTATCATTAAAAGTCCTGGTATTGAATTAGGCTTTGCATCCACAGCCACACCCAACGTGTCACGCATTCTGAAAAAGGAGCAGCAAGAAGCTTGCCTATTCTAGAGATCTATTCTGGAACCTGCTACAAAATACAGCTTTTGGAGGAAGTTTAAACAATAAACAACAGTTGATTTCACAAATCAATTTCTTATGATGTTAAGGAATAAATGTGCTACAGTCATTATTAAGTAGACTCTTGGGTTATTAACAACATATAAAAGTGAAGATCTTCACTGGTTTTGAAAAATTGGCATATCACAATGAAAACTTAAATATAGACAAATTAGAAATATAGACTTAAAATTAGGCTTAAATATAAATTCCACTGATGGATTAATAAAAAATTCTATATCATGTTTTCTTGTTGACTATTTTTTCTTTCCTTAGAAAAGGATGATGTGTGTGTATTTCAAGAAGTATCAGTATTGAATCCCGGACAATCTATGATAAAGTATTTGAAAGGGGACTTCTGTTACACAATAGAGTGTCTGGAAGAAAAAGATAACCACACAGGCTTTCACACTCTGAATTTTACAATGGTGAACTGTTCAAAAGAATGTGAGGCTGTAAGTATGCCTTATAAATCTTTCTGGTGAGAGTTAATGAGTCTAAAATTGGCAGCTACAGAATTCGAACTAGGAAGACTCCATGAGTTAAAAATATACACTTGAATAGTTCTTGAGAAGTCTATTATTGTGCAATATATTTATGTCATGCAGATTTTCACTTTCCTGTGTATGACCTTGAGCTTCAGGAGTCTCATTATCTATAGCTTGACAGCTGGTTTGACCTGAGGTTGCCGTAGCTGCTTGATGAATCTTGGCTGTTAGATGTAAAGGTTAATATCTACTTCACTTTTAATATAGCTTTATAAAGTCAATTATTATTTGAAGCTCCTCAAATTCAACCTTAAAAATGGTTGCAGGTGATCAGAGAGAGCATATAGTTATGTTGGAAAGAACTAATTCATTAAAAATAGTGGTATGGTTGTGTGGCTTATTCAACATATTATTATTATTATTTTCAGCACCAGGCATACATTCCATCCCCAAGTGATTATGATTGTTGTGGTACCTGCAAAAATGTGTCCTGCAAATTTCATATGGAAAATGGAACATCAGTTATATATGACGTACGAATTCTTTATTTTCTAAAATGTGTTTCTTGGAAGGTAGTTTTTTGTACTACTTTCTGAAGAAGACATTCTTGGGTCAAATAACTTTAGAAAATCTCTATCTCTCTCTCTCTTCCCCCCCCCCCCCCCCCCCCCCCCCCCCCCTTTTCTAAAATGTGTTTCTTGGAAGGTAGTTTTTTGTACTACTTTCTGAAGAAGACATTCTTGGGTCAAATAACTTTAGAAAATCTCTATCTCCCCCCCCCCCCCCCCCCCCCCACGCACACACACACCTCTACATACAATAAACGCATCCATATGCAGCACACTTACAACACACAAGACACAGTTACATATGTTACACATAAAAATATCTGATAATTTTTTTGTAAAGAAATATGTTTAACTTGTTTTTCAAATGAATTTTTATCATAGATCCTCATTTTTTTTCAGATGTGAGAAATGGGCTTCGAGAAATGCTGATTTCTAATCATAACAAAAGAACAATTAATATTTCTATGGAACAGCTAATTTTTGATTTCAGATAAATTAGATATTACTGTGCTTCCTAAATTTGAATACTTTATTTAATAGGTTTTTTTTCTAATTGAAATTCATAGAAGATCTGAACTATTCATAAATTAAAATAAAATCTAGAGAAAAGAAAATGGTTAAGGTCATCAAAATTCTTTACTGGTTCATAAGAAATCTTCAAGTCAGTTTGACTGTTATTGTAAAATGTGAGTTATGAAATAAAAATTACAGCCCAATAATTATGTAATAATTATTTCAGCTGACTATTTCTGAATAAGAATTCTGAAATCAAGAATGAAACAAAGTTTTTATATTTAAACATTTGTTAAAAGAATAAGATTAGGTTTTAAAATAAACATAAGGTATATAAAATTACAACTATAAGTCAACAAACACTATCATTCCAAATATTTTTTTTAAATTTTTTGATGAAAAGGGAGTAGAAGGAAGAATAAACAAAGCTCAAGAAAGGAGGTGTATAAGTGATATGATTTGTTGTTTTATAATTAGTGAGGAACTATTAGAGCAAGACCTTTGGCACTTGGCCAAATTAGATAATTAATTTTGTAGTAGAAACAGGTATCTATTTACTTCTTTCCTTTCTATTGCTTTATTTCATGTTTATATCTGGTTCTAGTATAAAACCTAACATATACAAAGACACATGTATATTTTTAATCATTTCAGATAAATCTTTGGACCTTTTTTGGATGGAACATTTTATGTCACAAGAGGCTCTCTGCATCTTGATTTGGCTTTTGATTCAGTTGAATAGGAAATATTCTACTTAATATATATAGCATATTTTAATATGAAAAACAGTAACTCTTTCTGTTTTTTTTTAGGAGGGAAGTACCTGGCACTATAACTGCACAACATATGAATGTGTTAAGACTGATGAAGGGACAATGATTCTAAACTACAGTATGGTCTGTCCCCCTTTTAATGAGACTGAATGCAAAATGGTTTGTACTTTGTTATATCTAAAAAATTTAGTATTAAACATAATTTAGAAAATACACATTAATATGTTTTACAGGCTCATAATTACATTGTGGCTTATTTATTATGGTGAATGTTTTATTTTCATGAATAAATAAAAGCTCTATTATATTTCTTCAGTTTGCTATTTTGAGTAAATATGGTGTTCCAAATAATTTTGACTCTCTTTCAATGGACACTTTGCTATCTCTGGGTTTTTTATGTGTAGATATGAAGATTATTGAAAAATCATTTGGTCACTAGACCTAGACTCCCTTTTAATATGGATTAATAAACTAATCAATCAGAGTTTGGCCAATTTTCTTTCCTAAACAAACAGCCAGATTTGTGATTTCATTCACCTTTTAATGCTGTTGGCCTAAGAGACATTTGCCTTAGCATTGCTGAGCACAGGCCACTAGAGAACAGCAAAATCACTGCATTGCCAGTTCTTTAGTTTTATGCTCTCAGTTTCCTATTCTTTCAGAGAAGAGTCTATTGGGAAAGGAGATTTTGAAAAGTGATACAGTTTTTATTTTTAAGGATCCTTTGTAGCTTTAATTATTGAGGTAATAATAACATTCCTAATGAAAAATTAGCTTTGTTCTGTGTGAAGATACATAGCATAGTCTCATTGCTTTTTTTCCCCAAAGATATGTCTTTTTAACAATGATGGCCAACTAGATTTAACATGTAGTAAGGTCATAGATTTTCAGTTCTGGAAAGAAACTAAGTCATAATTTTATTTTACAGACTAATTTTTATAGAGTACATTATTCTTATATTTTAATTGCAAAAAACAACTTACTAAAGCAGTTATCAATTACTGTTAAAATTCCAAAAGCTGATCAATAAAATTTTATTAATTTAGCCTTAGATAAGAGCCATGCTGAAGTAGAGAATTTTTTTGAATAATAAAATATTAAAGAAAAAGATATGTCATTTTAGCATTCAGTTATATTCAGGAACTCAATCTAATCTATTTGAGCAGTTTAGATTATTTTGATGAGTTAAAAATATATAGTGGTCTCTATTTAAAATAGCTTTTATTATTTTGCTTTGGTAAAAAATATCTTGTGGCATTTAAAAAGTGTCCTTTTACATATTGTAATATTTTTACCCTCTTTTTCATATTACTAACATAGATATAATGTAATTTTAAATAAAATATCTGCTCCTAATTTTTAAAATAAACGTTTTTATTTTTATTTTTTTAATTAAAAAAATTTAACTTATCGATATACAATATACTTGATTTTTTTTGTCCCTTTATCAATTCCTCCTTTTCCCATATATGTCAATCATTTTTCTGTAAAAGCTTTGTGATATTTGATAAAGGTATTGGGAAAGTTAGTTTATTTCTAGTCAAAGAGGAAATGAATAAACACTGTATTTTTTTGGTTTTTGTTTTTACTTTATTCTTTTTCTCTCTTCCTAGAATGAAGGGATTGTAAAGCTTTATAATGAAGGCTGTTGCAAGATCTGTAAGTGAGGACATATCACAGGCATTAACTGATAGACTAGTTTTAATTGCTCATGGTGATTATAGTTTTTCTCATAAAATTTAATTCCTGTGATTCAAAGAGGGAAACAAATTTTATAAAGTATATTATTTAGAGGTTTTTGTGTCATGTGGTTAATAACTTTTTAATTTAGTCTTTATCTTCTGGAGTGTAAGTAAAGTATTTTAATTTAGAATATTTTAATTTAGATATTGGAAATTTCTTTATTGTGGCATTTCCCAAAAGGTATTGTGCAGGATTTTAATAGGCTTTAAATTTAAAAATGTCCTATGGCCAAATTTGCTCACAACATGCTGTACTACACAAAGTTAAGTAGGTTACTATAAGAATTGCACTGTGACTCCAATAAGGACATAGGGAGAGCAGTATTTGCCAAACCTATTTGAACAAGTCCATGGTTCTGTACAATAGTTTTGGGAAATACCATTTTTGTAAATTGTATTTATATCCTGTATGTAAGAGTTCCCATAATTATTCTGATAACTAAAGTTATGTGAATGCAATATATGTTATATTAGTTTGAATTATCAGGTTTATTTCATAGTGATTTTGAATGATTTTAAGTGGGCTATTCATGCAACCACTTTTTTTTCTTTTTCAAATGTCTATGAATTTATGTCAGGATAAAGATAGGAGTTTTAGGAAAATTGGCATAGGCAGTAATTTTAAAATTGTTTAGAGAAGGTTTCAGGAAAAGGGACACAACACAATCCAAGTTAATACCATAGTGTAAGATCAGATTCTTACCTACAAATCATCATGCCTCTCAAGGGAGATTTCTGAACTTCTTTCAAGAAGGGCTAAATCCCATGGATATTTAAGAGTAGTCTTGTCTATTCAAAGCTGTACAATGGTACCAAACAGAATATTAAATATATGAAAATATTGATACAACATTACGTATAATAGCTTATAAGTCAGAAACTCTCCTAAGTTTTCTACACAATATTTATCCCTCAAATAAATCCAGTGAAACAGTTTTTGACATGATCCTGATTTTCAGCTTAAAGGGGTTAAGTCATTTGTCCATGTCATACCTCTTTTGAGTGGTATTCCTGGGACTCCACTCTGGGTCTGCTTCTTAACTACTTGTGATATTCTGGAACATCACCAGGATATATTGCAGGAAAGGAAAGAAGCCGAATAATGAGCTCTGTTGATTATTGGCAGGGCTAGGAAGAACAAATTTTTATTTACTTGATAAGTGAAAAGTCAAATTTAAAACACACATACATATAGCCAACAAGCAAAAAGTTCACCATAAAATGGCCCGACATCTAATTTGTTATCATGCTAGTTTGTAGGCCTGTTGTAACAAAGTTTCACAAAGTGGGTGAATTAAACAACAGAAATTTAATTAGTGTCTCAGTTCTGGAGACTGGAAGTCCAAACCAAGATGTTGGCATGGTTGGTTCCTCCTGAGGGCTGTGCGGAAAGGATCTACGCCAGGCCTCTCTCCTTGGCTTGTCAAAGGCCATCTTCATGTTCGCATGGTGTTTTCCCTGCATGTGTGTCTTTCTCCAAATTTCCCCCTTTTATGAGGACACTTCATATTGGATTAAGGCCCACCTAAAGATCTCATTTTTACTTGATTACCTCTGCATAGACCTTAGGTCACTTTCTGAAGGTACAAAGGAGTTTTTTGAAGGCACAATTTAACCCGTAACAGTTATGTTTTGGGGACTTTTGTGCATAGTGTAATAACACTTTATATTTTTATAACCTCACCTCTTTTTCCTTCTCCCTCCTCCGAGTCTAGACTCTCCCTTATGTATGAGATACATGAATAGAGTCATAGGCAATGTTAAGGCCCTGGCTTCTGTAACCCCATGTTAATTATTAGAGAAGTGAGTACATTTATGGTATCTGAGGGCATACAGGGGAAGATCTGTGTGACGGATCATTTGAACCGCCATTTAGTGCCTCCCACATATTGAGGCTCCATTAAGCTCATTGCAGACAAGACCACAACTAATCCTCACAACAGTTTTGGGAGGCAGGTATAGTTTCCCCCACAGATGAGGAACTGAACGTTCAGAGAAGCTGATTACACCAATCAGTAATGGGTTTAGGCCATTCCAATGCCTGGGCCCAGGATCTTGCAACTCTGCCAAGTCCTTTGAAGTTGCAGAATAATAACAAACTACCATGGTTTCTCTCATCTGACATCTAAGGACTTGTGAAGTAATTTCTGCTTTGTTATTAGAGAACCCTTGTCTGTAGTCTTTGTTTTGGGTGACCATGGTATGAAAGAGATTGTAGAGGCTGGATACTATCACAGGTGCTGTGCTAAACCAAATGTGTTACAATAAAGTCTCTGAGAAATGAACTGGAAATGCCTTTTCGTACAAACTCTGCTATGAATAAATTAATGCTGTCCCAGTCTCATTCACTGAATGAAGTAACTTCTCAAATAGGTTTTTATTGGGTGCCTACATGCCAGACACCCTTTCAGGCACTGGTACTATAATAGTGAACGAAACAACATTTGGATCGTGCTTATTATCAAGGAGAGGAAGAAACACTAAACACATAAATAGGTACCAAGATGTCATGTAGTGGTGAGTGGTATAAAGAAAAGAAGTGAAGACTAAAAGGAGTGGAGAGTGAGGGGATCTGGGTTGTTAATTTAAGTGGGGGCTCCGTGATGAGGTGTCATTTGAATAGAGACCGGGTGTCCTAGGGAAGCCAGCCAGGCAGGGAGTTGTGTTCAAAGTGGAGGAAGCAGCAACGTGTGGCTGTAGCGTGAGGAGTGAGAGGAGGAAGGTGATAGAACAGAGACCATGGTAAAGATGATTTCTTTCTTGACTCTTCTTTATTCTTGAACTAAGATGAGAACAGAAGGGCTAATGAAGCCATTGGTGGATGAAAGCACCATAAGGCACAAAACAGCCTGCCCTGCACTCCACCAGTCACACTGAGCCTGGGGTCACACCGTAGGTGAGAGGTCAGGGAAAGGAGAAAGAACCAGCCCAGGAGACTGAGGAGGAGCCATGAGTGAGATAGGATGAAAACCAAAACCTATGAGCTCAGGAAGTCAGTGTGGAAAGTGTATTAAGGAGGACAGAGTGATGGCCTGGGTCAGTGCTGCTGAGAAGTCAAGTAAGATGAGAACTGAGAGGTGACCTTTGAATTTAGCAGTTTAGAGGTAATGGGTGACCTTGAGAAGGACGGTTTAATTTCAGGCAATCTTAGCTATCCATCTGTCCTTCAACTGGAACAGGTTAACCTTTATTTTCTCTACATGTTGCGATTTCTTAAAGCATTTATTTTAAATAAGGGTTTTATGGCTAAACTTATTTGAAAATTGGTGATATAATTCTACTCTTTTGCAAGGAAGGAAACTCAGCAGAATGACTCAATGACTTTCCTAAAGTGACAAAGCAAATTAATAACAGAGCGAGGTGAGGACATTGGTCTTTTGCATATTGATTCAGGGATTACATCTACTATGTACAACATTAAATATATATTCTTGGGTGTATTACAAGTAATAATCCATCACACACACAGAGGCAGGTTAAATATCCTGAATGAATACAAAGTGTTTCCATTTGAAATCATAAAAGACCTTTTTAGAGCCATAAAATCAAGTATGACTCATCCATATATTTCAATATGGTTGATAAATAATTCAATTACATTTTTCATTATTTTATATTAATATCCATTAAGATAATATAGTTTTAAATCTTTTAATTTTTATTTTAAAAATGATGTATATATGTATTATGCATTAATTATGTATATATATATATTTACTTAGACATACCATACATATCATTGTTTATTCCAAAAATTACTTAAAATTTAATTTTTATTTTAAAAATGATGTATATATGTATTATGCATTAATTATGTATATATATATTTACTTAGACATACCATACATATCATTGTTTATTCCAAAAATTTGTATATATATATTTACTTAGACATACCATACATATCATTGTTTATTCCAAAAATTACTTAAAACACACATATATGCCACACACAGGTTGATGTCAGCATTATTACACGTGTGGAATATTTTTGATTTATGATTATGATGATTATTCTAGGACAATAAGATAAAAAATGGAAATAAATATAAAGCTAGAAAATATAGTCTATTTAGAAAGTGAAAATAAATATTGCACAAAAATATACAAAAGTGGAGTTTTAAATATCTTTTAAGACTGGGATAGATTTCATATAAATATATCAATTTTCAATTGTAAATATATTCATATGTTTGATTGAATTAAGAAACAATTTGACACTAACCTTTTGCTGAATAAATACCTTCTATATTTTATCAGGCAAACAGGACGAAAGAATATGCCAGAAAGTGATCATTAAAACAGTCATAAGGAAACAGGATTGTGTAAGCCAAAGCTCTGTAAGTAGAAAAATATCATTGTTTACATAAAGGGCATGCATCTTTCCAGAAGTATATGAGTCACAGCAATAATAAGTTTGTAAGCCAGCAAAATGCCAACACTTATAATATTTAACTTTGATATTAATCCTACATCCTAATACTAAAATATTGTCTTTGTGAAGAAATATGAATTATTTTTAGCATAAGTAATCAACATTTCTGAATGAAAATTACAATCCAGAGAGGTGGAAATTGAATGTAAATATATTTTACTATATGTTGTCTTAACCATGCAATTTTATTCAGCAAAAGTAGACTTGCTCTATTTAATATAACCTGTATAATTTTATAGTCTACTTGAGCCATGACAGTAGAGGTGCCCATAGAATCATTAGATTGTGATTGACATATTCCGTGCACCTGTCTAATTATGTGTGCATATTTCATGTTTTGATTAATGCCAGCATTGCTATGCTGAGCACTACCATGGAACATCCCTTTGAGTTGTTTCAACTTAATATTTTCACAACCTTCTATCTTGCAGAAGTTTGAGGATTAAAGTGATGAGGAAGAAAGCCTTACCTTCCTCAACTTCTTAGGAAACAAATAATAACCAGTGTTTTAAAAATTTAAGACTTTTTTTCTCATTGTTTCTCCTCTCAGATAAATGTTGCATCTTGTGATGGAAAATGCCCATCGGCTACCATATATAACATCAATGTAGAAAGTCACCTAAGATTCTGCAAGTGCTGTCGTGAAAACGGAGTGCGAAACTTGACTGTACCTCTGTATTGCTCTGGAAATGGCACTGAAATTATGTTCACTCTCCAGGAACCTGTAGATTGCACATGCCAGTGGAATTAAATTCTTGGATTGCAAGAACTCTATACAACATCATAATGTCCAATACAGTTAACTTGTATCACTATTATTTAGGTACTTGGCAGATTTATACTGTTTAACTGTAATATATTTTTCAGACTATTGGGGTATGGCAATTTAACAGTTGGTACAAAATATATGCTCTTGGCAAAACTAGATTTATTGATTTGCTCATTTTAGAGAATCAAATGATTGTAAGTAGTTCAGCTGAAATGCTGTTATGCATATAATTGCAACATAGCACAGATCTGGAATAATCCCATCAATTAGAAGTTTATTTTGCAGAATTTGTTCAATTTCAGTGAATAGTTATTTATTTATTTTGATTTGCAAAGTAGCTATCCAAATTAAGATACACTTTAATATCTACTGCTTAGTCTGATATATGTGATCAGTTAAAATTAGCATCTAGATAGCCTTAAAGAATGGTGTGTTTAAAGACAGGTCATAGAACTATATAGCATTACAGATTATTTAAAACCTGAGTGGACATTAGGGATGTTACTGCAAATTCTCCTCACTTTGTATGTGTAACAGATAACTAGAGAAGCTGTGTGACTTGTACAAATTCATTCAGTGTAACAATATAGTAAATTCATGTTAACGGATTAAGTTCTAGATATCTTCTATCCAGTCCTATGTTCTTTTATTTTGAATAGTGTAGTAACGTTTCTATCACAGAATCTTTCATTTTTAAAGAGATTGCATTAAATAGAATTGAAAAAAACATTTTTAAGTCCAGTATGTTTGAAACATGCCACTTTAATAGTTATCTCAATAATAAGGATCAGGAAAATATAGCATCAGTTGCCGAATAGAGGAGATTTTTAGCTTTTATTTTTTATACCATTAAAACTGCTATTAAATATGTTGTTACTATTTAATAGTTAGTTACTTGCTATCTCACTGACATCTGATTTTTAAGATGTATTTTGTACTTTTGAAGGTGAGTGCTATTTTGATGTTAATGCTGCTGCTTTGCCAGTGAGGAATTAAATCAAATAATCTAAATGTATTAATAATTTTACAATTGAATGCAGCAGTTTTAAAATACAGTAGATAATTGACATTTGCAAGGAATATGTCCTGAGATCTTTGCAAATCCCCAGATTCTAAGCCACTGATAGTCTGTGTCTCCTTCCTGGTAAAAGGGAGCGAATGCGCTACTTAGTGCTATTATGGGTATCAAATTATGTCAAACATTAATAAAAGAACAGCAAAGTTATATTGAAAAGCAGATGCTGGGGCTTGATGGGCTATGCTCAGGCTTGAGCTAGGTGACTTGCTTTCACATATCACTTCCATTTCAAAATTATGCTTCCCAGAAATATTGCAACTTACTAAATATTTTGGACCTCCACGCTTACTTAGAAATGGGTGAAAGAACTAATATCACATTGGCAAAGTCCCTGTGTCTACTGTATATAAAAATTGGTTTATCTTATTAGTTCTTAATACAAATGTTTCCTTTAGATGTTAACATATCAATATTCTTTGATTCCTATTAATCTAATTAAATGGTTTTGTTTAAAATATGTTAACATTTTGCTTCAGAGAAAATGTTATGTACCTCACATAGAAGTACATAATGTTGTATATTGTGTATCACCAATTTTTTATTTCTGCTGTCTGTAAAATATTTTTTACTAAAGTAAAATTATTAAATAACCTTTAAACCTATTTGTGAGGAAAAGGGAAACATTTCCCTAGAACTTCATAAATATTCACCAAATACAACAAATACGTATTGAGGGTCTGTCATGCTGCTATGTGCCAGGCACTATTCTAAACTCTGGGGACATAGGCAATACAAAACAAACACAGTCCTCACTCTCATGCAACTTAGAGTCTAGTAAGAAAGCACACATTTGATAGCCATACATATGAGAAAGCGTAGAAAGAGATCCCAAAAGTTATTGGAATGAAAGGTGGCTCTCAAATCAACAGAGGGTTACAGATGGGCTTTGAAAAAATGGTGTTGGGACAACTGGGTAGTCACTTGGACAAAGAGAGATTTGGTTCATATATCCACTGGCATCAGGATAAACTCTAAATGAATCAGAGATTTAAATGTCCAAAAACAAAACAGAACAAGACAGAAATTCTAAAAGGAAATAGGAGTGGGGAAGGCCATTCTAATTGTGACCCAATATCCAGAAGCCCCAAAGAAAAGACTGATAAATTAAACAAGACAACTAAAATCGAACAAATTCTGCATGGCAAAAGAACATGTCAAAAGAAAAATGTAAAACCAAAGAATCAATATTTGCAACATATTGCTGATGAAAGCTAATTTTTCTATATATAAAGAACTCCTAAAAATTACAAAAGGAAAAAAAAAAAACCTGATGACCCAAGAGAAAAGTGGGCATGTGTTGGTAGCTCAAAGAAAGAGAAATAATAGTAGTGAATTCTTTAACAAAAGGATAACACTTTTAACAAAAGTATTTACATCAGTCTATACTGAAATACAATTTCTCAACTACCAGACTGGTAAAAATTCACAATTTTAAGGATACTTTTTATTTTTTAAGACTCTGGGAAGACAGGAACTCTCAAATGTCATTGGTGATGACACAAAATTGTAGAAATCCTAAGGAAGACCTAGCAATGTATGCTGATATTAGAGATGCTTTTTAGTTTGTCCCAACTATCCAGGACATATATCCTAGACAAACTACCTGTACAAAATAGCACTTGTGCAAGGTTATTAATTGCAGCATTGTTTGTAATGGGAAAGACTGGAACCAACAAGAGCTGGTTCCATATAATATATTATGCAGCGGTAAAAAAAGAATGAAAAAGAAATTTATATATCAGTATGGGATGATCGCTAAGATACAGTTTTACATAAAAGTATAGAAATGTAGAGTAGCATATGTAGAAAGCTAGGTTTTATTAAAATGGACCAAAATAAGAAAATATAGTCATATTTACTTGTATTTACATATAGCATTATTTATGATAGCTGGGAGCTGGAACAAGCCTAAGTGCCCATCATTGGATGAGTGGATTAGGAAAATGTGGTATATCTACACAATGGAATACTACTCGGCTATAAAAAAAAAAATGAAATATTACTGTTTGCAGCAACTTGGATGGATTTAGAGAAAATTATATTAAGTGAAATAAGCCGGGCACAGAAAGAGAAATACCACATGTTCTCACTTATTTGTGGGAGCTAATAAAAATAAATAAGTAAACAAATGGGGGGAGGGGGAAGAAGACACAACAATCACAACAACTCCTTGATTTTGTTAAGGCATGTGAACAGGTGTGATGTTGATGTGGGGGAGAGGGGAGAAGGAGGGAAGAAAAAGAGGTATTGACAAAGGGACACAAAAATCAACTCTATTGTATATTGATAAATTAAAATAAAAAAGGACCAAAATAAGAAAATATAGTCATATTTACTTGTATATACATAGGAAAAGTAAATAATGAAATAGTAAAATGGCATAAATAAATGGTCCAGATGGATCAGTGTGGATGGAGACTGGCATGGGAATGAGACTTCTCAATGTATGACTTAATATATCTTTTGATTTTTGAACCACAAATATATTATATATTCTAAATATTTAAGTTAGATATAAAGTAAGTATATACTAATATAAATAAATGAATAATTCTAAGTTCTGATAAATGTTATAAAGGAATAGAAGCTGCTATGAGAAACTGGCACAGCAAAATCTAACTCGGATTGGGTGGAAATGCAGGGGAGGTCTTCACGGTAGGAGATGTGTAGGTTGAGACCTGAAGGATGAGTCTGAGCCGACCCACGAAGCATTGCCGAACTAAGGGAACAGCATGAGTGAAGGTTTTGTGGGAGGGAAGAACAAGGACAGATCAGGGAACTAATAGACTAGGAATGCTTTTTGTGCATTTTGAGGAATGAGTAGTGTGATACAGGATGAAGTTGGTGAGATGGCTGAGCAACAAAGTAACAGGTAAAGGGACTGGTAAGGCGAGAAATGGTAGTGACGGTGTAGATGGAAGACGTTGTAGTACACTGGACATGCTTTGGAGGTAAGGACAAGAGGACTTGGTTGTCACTTGTGTTCTGAGAATGCCTCAGAGTTTGCTGAGCAACTGGGTAGGTGGAAGTTGGGAACCATGGAGAAGACGGTGCATGGGGGGGGGAGTTTGGGGTGGGGGAGGTTTAGAACCCAATTCTGGACATGTTGGTATGGCCGGTCACCTGAGTGAAGTTATTAGTACGTGGCTATTTCTGTTGATTTGGTGCCAAGAAGAGAAATCTGTTGGAGATATCTTTAGGATTTGTTAACATAGAAATAGTATAAAACTATGAGAATAAACAAAGTTAGCTAGGGTGAGAGTTTAGTGAGAGAAAAACAGGACCCAAGATTAAGTCCTGAAATCCTCTAACATCTAAGGGATCAGATAGAAAAAGAACAGCCAGAGAAGGAGTCTGAGACAGACTCCCACAAACAGTATTTAAGTTTGTTTCCTTTACCCTTTATCATCATCAATACTAGATAGCAGCAGAGAAAGTTCTTAATAAGCAAAAAGTGTCAGCTCATCTGATATTAGTACATATGGGGTGTGTGCGTGTGTGTATGAGCTTCCCATTGAATTCAAACCTTTTTATGAAATTATTGTATTTCTTCTTTTGTCTGTTTTTCCTTTATCTGTTTTCTTATGTGGTAATTTCAAACTGTGTGCTATAAGGACAAGTAATTTTAGAAACTTAAACTCACCTGTCTCCACCTTAAAGGTTATAATTAATATAATCTGGGAGTTTTAACAGATGAGTCTGAATTTGTCTGGCTAGGCTGAGGCCTGGAATCCTCACAGCGCCAGTTGTCTAGCGCTTAATCCTGTTCGTGAGGCCAATTGCAAAGCCAGGAGACCACGACAGTTGTCGGGATTACCTTCCGGTAATCCTGCACCGTCTGGGCCGATTGTCTAGCTAAGGCTGGGTCTGGAGCCCACAGACCCCTCAAGCCCGTTCACAGACT